GCAGTTTGAGGAACCTCCAAACAGTTTTCCATAGTGGTTGTACTAGTTTGCATTCCCACCAGCAGTGCAGGAGAGTTCCTGTTTCTCCCCATCCTCGCCAACATTTGTTGTTGCTAGTTGTTTGAAGATGTGCCATTCTCACTGGAGTGAGGTGTTATCTCATTTTAATTTGCATCTCCCTTATTACGAGTGATGTTGAACATTTTTTCATATGCATGTTGGCCACCAGATGACTTGATTTTTAATGATTCTTTACTATTACATGGTTGTATAGTAATTTATTCAATCTTTTCTTTATTCTGTTTTCTCCTTATTGTAAATAATAATGTTATGGGTATTCTTTTGCATATTTATATTTTTCTGTACTAGTCTAGTTAGTTTCTAATTTAGTAAATTCCTAAAAGTAGAAAAAGAGTATATATGTGTTTGAGGTTCTCTTTTTCTTTGAATGACCATTACTTAATTAAATTCTTTGTAGGGAGTTTAGAATGCCACTTTGTGAGGGTAAATTCCATTAGTGAGAACAAATACAGAGTAGAGGAACAGCTTTGATTTTTGGCAGAATTTGTGAGTCCACAGCTTTCTGATCAACTTTGTGCTATTCTATAAACTTGTATTTCTCCTCTGTATCAAATATCTCACTTCCTTATGGCAGGGCTTATGCAACTTCTTGAAGTTAGCATCAGTGAGATTTTTAGGGATCTTCACAACACTGATACCAATTTTGATGGAGTCAGCAATTATACAAATTTCTGGTGTGTCCTACACAGGGGAATTCAACTGAGGGACTGAGTAGCAAGCCACTGTCAGCTGCTTCAAGAAAACTACCCTTTTGCCTCTGGAAACAGTGTTGGGATGATCAGAATGGTGCCAAGAGAGATGCTAGCTCACATTTTTCTCACATAGTGACTCAGAGGTTTTTCCCATGGCTCAACAGTTTTTGAGGTACATCTTTAGTAAGATAATATCTAGGCATTTTGCTAAGTTTTATCTACTTGGATACTGACATTCTTGTCACCATCAAACTGCTTTTGTGATGGTAGTGTTCTTTTCCTTTTTAATCTCGGATTTAGCTGTGGAATAGATCTTCTTGTACATGGCCTTCCTGGCATATCTGCCAGGTATGGAACTCAGGCCCAGGGATGATAACATTACAGTTTAACCCTTAGGTCACCAGGGAGGCCCCTAAGTTTCCTTTTTTTTTTTCCTGCATATGAATATCTGTTCTCTCTTTCCTTAGTCTTGTAGTAAAAAGGAATAAAAGCATTTGGAATAAAACAGAACAGTGTTTAACATCTTTGGTTTTTGAAACAGGTGGGTCTAGGTATGATTCTGGATTCCTTGATCTGTGTGAACTTGGGTAAAGTAACCTCTCCAACTCTTTAACAGGTTGCTTCACAGAGTTGATGAAAGGACTAAATGAGATCACAAAGCACTCACTATGCTGCTTGATATAGAAGCATTTAAAAAACCTTACTGACTACTACTGCTGTTGTTATGGCTGGTTAAGTTAAAGTTATTAGTATTATTTGGAGTATTAAGAGTGGATGATAGTTGTGAGCAAGGTTAGTGAAGATGTTTTGGATGAAATTTTTTACAAGATCAATTTTCCCCTTTATTCCTTTTTCCTGTCCTGTCCTGTCTCTATGACTAAAAATGGGTCGTAGATGTTAGATTATGGTGATCTTTATATAGATATGCAGATTTAGAAGTATTCACATCCAAGGGCTTTGTGGAGCATGGAGTGAGAATTTATTAATAATCATTGATTATTTAAGAAGGAGGCTACGGGGCCTCCCTGGTGGCTTAAGGGGTTAAGTCTCAGCACTATCAAACTATTGCCAACTACTACAGCATGAGTTTGATCCCAGCCCAGAGAGCTAACCCAGATGGCCCAGTAGACCTCTCCTGCCTTGCCCACTGCTATCCTTAGCAGTGTGTTTCAGTGGAACTACCTGTTCTGCTCCCCATTCTGTCTTTGGTGAATCCTCTCACCACCGCCCTGCAGCGCTCCCACCCCCATTCTCCCTCCTCACACCTCTGGCCTACACCCCTGTACTTACTTATATAAATAAATAATTTTTTTTTTTTTTTAAGAAAGGTTGTAGGTGAGTAGACTTAGACTGGATAAGTATGAGTAGATAATATGGAATCCATTTTTAAGTGACAAATTTGGCGTTTATGCGCTTGAATAGGGACATCTGTAAGTCAAGTACACGCACACACTACCATCAAAATAATATTTTTTTTAACATTTCATAGCAAGATGATTTATTATAAATGGAGGTAAGTAAGTGAAGTAGGGTAAGAGAAGATCATGAATCCTGCATTTTCAATATATGTTTGGTACTTTGGTTGGGAGGATTGGTAAGTTTGGAAATGGTTTTACCTTGTAAATACTAACTTTTTGAAGTGCAGTGATTATATATTTTTGGAATGTTACAAATTCTGGTGCGTAAGAAGCAGATTATAATACATTAACCTTTTTTTCCTCTTTCTTTGCTTATGTGTGTGTGTATGCTTTCTCACTTCTTTTGGTTCCTGATATGGCTAACAGGGAACAAATATTGGAATGATTACTTTAACTCTGTTGGAATGAGATTGGTCACCATGAATATCATGCTGGCCTTAATTAGTCCAAAGTACTTCCTTCCTGCTTTCAGGGAGGCTCCATAC